GACTGGAGTGGTGTGGATTACTTGTGGATTATTGTGATGGTTTTATCAGCTGTTTGGACTCTCATTCTGACAGCAACCCATTCACTGCAGAGCATCCATTGGTGAGCAAGTGATGGAATGCTACATTTCTACAAATCTCTTCCCATGAAGAAACAAACTCATCTACATCTTGGATGGCCTGAGGAAGAGTACATTTTCATTTTTGCCACTTCTACTTACAGGCTGCATGTCGATTTTCAGATCCACCGCTTTGACCGGTGCGTCAACTGAATCGTTGTTTTCTGCTGCAGGTTTCACGGGTTCGCTCTTCTTTTTGAACATTTTACCAAGGAAGTTGGACATCTCATCTCCACTGGGCTTTGCAGCTTTTTTGGGTGGTTCAGCATCTGTTGATTGTGTTGTTTTTTGCTCAGGGGTCGTTTCCACATGTGCGGGTCCATTAGCTTTGCTGCTGTCTACCTCCTCTTTTTCTGGTGGTTTTGGTTCATTTGTGACAGGGGCTGGCGGGGTTTCACTCTTTTGTTCTACTGCTGCTTCTTTGCTAGTCTCGTGAATAGAAACTCTCAAATTCAGCCAAAATATATGGAATACTGATGACTGAAGGACATGTAGTTGATGGAATACTGATGACTGAAAGACATGTAGTTGATGGAATACTGATGACTGAAAGACATGTAGTTGATGGAATACTGATGACTGAAAGACATGTAGTTGATGGAATACTGATGACTGAAGGACATATAGTTGATTGAATACTGATGACTGAAGGACATATAGTTGGTTGGAGTTCTTTGCAAAGGTGAGCAGATGTCATATGGAAGATCTCCACCCATGTATAAATGTTCTGATATTTGTTCCATTCATTCACTATTTAATTGTTTATGTATATGGCCATTTAATTGTTATGAATAATCTGATCTTCTGTTTTGCGTCAAAAAAGTTCCAAAGTAAATGCAGTTTACTGTTACTCTTATGATTTTGAGAGAACACTGTATAAACAGATGCTTACCTCAATACAGTGACAGTTCTTCCGGCATTCCTCCAGCAGTCCATCTGCTGCCTTCTTCTGTGCATTCATTACTAACCTCTTCATTAAGCAGTACAGGCGGAGCAGTTTTTAAGAACAAAAAAAAAAAAAAAAAAGAGAAAGAAAGAAATGATGAATGCAAAGTACAGGGACAATTAATATCTATTGCCTTCAGTTATCAATATGATAATCGTTTTGGCCAGTCATAAATCATAATACACACCCACTTCTTATACACACTCGACATTTTAAAGGACAGTTGAGGTTACAGCCAAAATAACATAAGAGTACATTTATATTCAACTAGAATGTGTTTGCATACTTGCATAAAGTGTGTTTCTGGCTTATTTCTATGTGCATTGTGCAACTTTCATTCTCTCTTAATATGTGCATGAACAAATGCATGCATCTGCATTCTATGGGATACATATATATATATATATATAT